GTGTGCACTGTGGTCACGCCAGCATCAAATCCATCCAAGTTACATGGTTTATTAAAATAATCAAATTACAGCATTTACATTTATGTTAGACTACTTTTAATTAACTTCTTTAGCTCACAATGAAAAAAAAAAAAAAAATCTTGTTCATGACCTGTGTAGTACGTTAACACTATTGGAAGTAAAAAAGCTCTGCCTTGTATTATGAGTATGAGTCTGTGGTCTGGGAGAGAGTCCTTTAACTCTCTGTCTGCAAAATACAGTATATAATGACCAATGTTGGGCAAATAGTTACTTCTTCAAAAAAGTAACTAAGTTATGCAAACAACAAAGTTTTTTGCAGCTGTTTACCTAAAAATGCAGCCAAGGCGTTTTTTTAAACAAACATTTCAAACTATTTACAGAACAATCAGCTGTTCTGCATCAATTTTGATGCCACACAAATTATTTGTGCCACTCCCAAAAAATAATTGCTGTCCACTATGAGATAAAGGAGAACAACAGCCTGATACCTGCAGGCCTGACAACAGGAGATGTATCACTCCTGTAACACCTGTAACATTCAGCAGTCGCCTCATTGCTCTGACACACACAACAAAACTATTGACTACACTACACACTAACTACACAAGATTTGCGCTAAACATCGCAAATGTCTCACATCTCAAAACACCGCTGTCACTCCTAAAACATCCCCCCCTTCCTAAACAACTAAATGCCATGTTGCCATATCATTTTTTGATTGGCCGACATGGTACATTTATCGACCAATATGAAAGGGTGGGGGGTTTTGGGCGTTGTTTTTGCTCACAGGCGGAGAGTGCTTTCAAGAGCTTTCCTTATAAAACGCTGTTCTTACCGTTTCTTCCGCAGTAAATATAAACAACGACAGTATTCAGGAAGAAAACCAAACATTGCATATATTTTTATCATAACTCTGGTTTTACGTGGCCTATCAACACAATTTAAAAACTGGTATAAAGTCCACACTTTTCCGTCAATTGTTCCGTCTGTCCTGCTCACATCTCCAATAGTTGTACACGTTGTCATTAACGTGGCTTCACTCCACATCAGTCACGCCGCTTTGCTAGCTAAAACACGGTGTGGGCACATAAGGACGCTGTCATAGCCTGTCAACCACATTGATTAGCTGCGTATATTCGAATGTGAATTGGCTGGACTATGGAATAAGGTGGCATCGTTGTAATCCCATACGGGAGCAGCCAGTCACTTACTGACTAACACTGCAAAACAGAATTGTTAAAGTATTAATTTTAATTTCAATTCAGGTTAGATTTTTTTTTTGTGCGCAACGCAGATTTTCTGTGCAGAGACCGTGCCAGCAGTGCGCAATTGCTCACGCACACCGCTTAGAGGGAACATTGCTTACGAGGACATTATACTACTACTGTTCTATCGAAATTTTAAATGAATATCCTAATATGTGGCTCTCATTTTTCTAAGAAACAAAAATTAGGGAAATTAAAAATGCATGCCGTGGTAGAGTTCGGGTCTTAGGAGGTTAAATTAAATTAAATTAGATTAGATTAGATTAAATTAATGTTTTAAAATGAATATAATGAAGAAATATTCAATATTATCTAATATTATTTCACATTTTATATTTCTTATATATTACTTTATTCTTTACATTCTCTTTTTACATTTTTATTTGTTTTTACATGATTAATTACTGTATTTACTATTCATCATCACCAATGTACTATTTATCATTTGAAAATCTAATATAATCCGTTATTATTATTATTATTATCATTATTATTTATTGCTACTACTACTGTAACATATATCGGTGATTTAACAGTAAACTATTATAAATAACAAAATTAATTTATTATTTGTTTTTCTTTGTTTATATTTAAATGAGGCGATGGGAGCACTAATGCGCAGGTATTTCAGTTGTCTCGGAGTCTGAAGGAGAGAGAGGAGGAGAAGTGGGAGGAGTAGGTAGAGGAAGAGGAGGGGTGGCTAATGGAGGAAGAGGAGGTGTTCTGCACAGTTGAGTCCAGAGGAGAGGAGCGGCCGCCATGTTAACCAAGAAGCCCGGAACCTCGGTCCTTCCGACGGGTGAGCATACCCTTTGTATCCGACAGAAGGCACCTGAGCCGGGCCACGGTTGAGGAGATGCCCCAGTGTTTCTCTGGCTGTCTTTAACGGCAGGTAGTGAATGAGACACGGAGGAGCAGAGCGGGGAGAGCTGGGGGCTGTGCTAGCTAAGTGGCTCCAGTACGAGCAGCCCTCCAGGCTCGCCTTTTTCGGTCTCTGCTCTTTAAATTAAGCATAAAAGCTGAGAGCTAGCTGGGCTGACAGCGGGAGAAGTGAAGGAAGGAAAATCAGCTCTGTCCGTCAGGTTAATTTTTAGCAAACAGATGAGAAGTGACAGCAGCAGCAGCAGATTTTCCCACAGTCTCTCCCTGCTCCGGTTATTCCTTCTCCTGCTCTCCGTCAAGCTGCCTTTGTCACCGTGCTACTCCTCGGTGTCCTGGCTCTCCTGGTGCCCTGTGTGTGATGTTAGCTTTGCTGGTTTCTGTGTGTTTTGCGTGTTTTCCGTTGCCGGGTAATTCTTGGCCTCCGGCTCCACGGACAGAAATAAATCTTTGGTCAGAGGTCAGTTGGTTTGCTCCACATTAAAGGTATGGTTTCCCCCTCCTATCACTTCCTAAAATCTTAAGGAGCTTGACAGCCTCACGCTGAGCGTTACAGCTGATATTCTGCCTTTATATTCATATAAGGATTCAGTGGCTTTGTGCTAGCATGGAAGCTCTCCATACACTCCTGGTGTCTGTGTTTGAACCATTAATACGAGATTAATGCGCTCTCCAGATTTTTGACGATTGTGCTTGGTTTTATTTATTTATTTTTTATCATACGCTTAATGTCAATAAATACTTTGATGGTTGGAGGCAGTTTCATTTTGCGTGATGAGCCTGATTGGTATATTAGCATTGCATTAATGCTGTTAGTGTGAGGAAGTCACAGCAGAAATTACTTATGGTATAAACAGATTAAAGGGCGTAGCCATCCATTTGTGTGTGGACTGTTGTTTTGAAGCCTGAAGGTTGGCCATAGTGGTTATTTTGAAGCTTTATTAGCCATAAACTCCTTTATTTACACTGATGGGCTATTTTTGGCTGGTGTATTCATAGACTTTTGGACATGTTGGATATAGACAGCCGCTGGTTTTTGGCTTGCTGTTTTGAAGCCACAGCTTTGGCCCATTTTGACGTTTTCTTGAAACCGGATGTGGGGCAGACTTGGGAAATTGTTAGCTTGGTTAGCTATTTGGTTAGCTACTTTAAGACTTTACTACTTTAAACCTTTGTTACTGGTTTTTTTTTTTTTAAAGGACATGACCCTATTTTGGAGAAAATGTATAATATGTACAATTTACTTTCTTGTTAAATAGGGTGCTGAAAAGGCATTTAAAAATATTAATGAGTTGTTAGCTGATGTTAGCGCTTGCTAGCATCATGATATTAAATGGAGTTCTAACTTTTGCTTGTGGAAAATCTGTTTATATTTGAGCTAGGAAGTTGTTAGCTAGCCTGGTTAGCGAGGTACCAATGTAATTCACACTGATATAAAATGGTAGTCTAATCTTGGCTAGTGAAAATGGGCCTTAAATATACACACATTGATGTAAAAGCTAATGGTAGCCAAAGGAGGGGTTACCTAGGGAACTATTCAGCAACTAGCTTGGTTGACAAGGTGATAACCAGGGTTACTGGGTTTTGGAAAACAGGCTTTATGTTTTGCTTATTGAGGTTTTGGAGACTCTTGACCACTAACCATGTGACTTAACTTATCCACCATTCTAGATGTGTAATAATTAAGGGAAGGGATCAAGTGAGTAAGTCCCCAATCACCCCAGTTGTGAGGTGGAAAATGAATATAATGGTTGTGAGCAATTTGTGGATTTTTATGGCAAAAATGATCGCTAAAGTCAGTCATGTAGGTCCCCTGGCAACTCACCTGTTGCTAGGGTAAAAGACCCCGACTAGTGGGCAAAAAACTTGTGATTGCTGCAGTCACAGTTTCAGTGGAAATGAATTGACTTGTGTACAAATGTCATCCAGCTGCTAAAATGCTGAAAAGTGCGACACAAAAGGTAAACGGAGGTTTACCTTTAAAGTAAAAATTACACCTCTAACTTCATTTTTACTTTTCGTTGTTTTTTTTGTCAGTGTTGTAAATCGAACAATTTCTGCAGTCTCTCATAGTATAAGGCCCTTACCGGTCACCTGTGGCAATTTTATTTTGACTGTGTTGTTTACTGTCGTGTACTGTGGACCATACTATTTTTACTCTTTATCGTACTGGTAGCACAAAACAAAAAATCCTTGTGGGATTTTTTGAGCATTAATAACAGTCACACCAGTCTCAAACAATCCATGTTTAAGAGTAGAATCACATACACAAACTACAGTCCCAGACAAAAGTTTAAGATCACTTGGGTGGGATTTGTATTTTGCATTGTTGGATCTTAACAAGGTTTCAAGTAGAGCTTCAACATGCAACAAGAAGAAATGGGAGTGAGACAAAACATTTTTTTGAGGATGCAATTTATTGAAAACAACGCTTAAACTGAAACCGGCTATATATACACATGTATGTGTATACATACACATGCATGTACGTACGTATGTACGTCCTTATGGCATCTGAGGATAACGTAGGGACGTGTTGTACAAGGTGAAACGAGTATTTCTTCTTTCTTTTTCAAGATTTGCTCTTATTAACTTGGCACAGTGGTAATAGTTCTTTTGACTTCCTTGATTGGTGTTGGCATATACCTCATTTTGGTAATAATATCTAGGTTTTGTTGTGCTGCCTGTTTCTGTTTGTTTTTACATAACAACCCAACTATTGTTATTGTTAAGTTGTTTTTCATAAGTTTATTTCAAACTGTGTTAACTCATCTTCACTCTAATTCTACAATAAACATATTTAAAAGAAATATCATGTGCTTCATGAAATAAATAACAGGTAATTTAACCTTTTTAGGCCTCATATATACAGCAACGTGTATGTTAGGCGGTTGTGCCAAATTTATTTGAAGCTTGTCTTGTGGATAATGTAAGGGTGTTATGTGTAGTAGCATGAAGTATATGCTTTGCAATGTATCATGCTATCTTTAGGAAATAAGACATTGCAGTTGAGTTTGATTGCACATTGCTGTATTCAGTTACAGTGATGTAAACAGAGGCAGGCAGCCAGATGTAACATAGCTCTGATATTATTGCTGTCATTCGCTCACAGCCAGCGATGTGCTGTCAGTAATGAAGTTTAGACAGTGACTGATACAGAGTATAATTACTCTGTGATCACAGTCCTGTTTTTGTCATTTAAACTGTCAGACTTGTAGCAAGCGTTCCCTGCTCATCCCTCATCCTTCTCTAACCACCTGCTTTATAATCAGTTCATTAGCTGCTTGAATCAGTCTGTTTCCTGCTGTGTGCTGGCAGTTTGTGCCGGTTCATGCACTGTTTCCAGATCTGTGTCCCAGTTTCTCACTGTACACCAACAAGCATGGGGTGGATGTCGTAATGTTGACACTGCGTGCTGACAAATGTCTGTTAAACTGGCTCTGCTGCAGCAGCACACGGGGTTTTAAAAGGTGCTTTTGAGAGGAGGGCGGAGTTTGCGACTGTCTCGGTTATCTGTGTCAAAGCAGATGGTGCCTGGTTATCAGAATACCCACATTCAGAGAGTTTCTGTCTTTGAAAACATCACGGCTGCTTGTTTACAAGTAGTGCTGATCATCACTCTCGCAGATAGATTGACAAACCTTGTTAACGTGGGTTTTTACCAGCTGCTGCTAATTAACAGTGATTCTGAAATGGAAAAGTTTGGATGTCATCGGGCTGATTTGTTCTTGTTTTCCATTTGAAGGCACTGCTGCTGAAATGGTCACATTTTAACCTCTTAATTCTTGTTTCTTAACATGAGTTTTCCCAGTTTCCCTGTCCTTATCTTCATGTATCTGAGTGTCTGTGCCATAAAGTGACTAGTTTTGACTTCTAAAGGGCAAAAATAGGTGAAATTGTGAAATTTCTGATATTAATATTCTTGGTGACTTTACCCAGAAATCAGGTTTCAAAGTCCAAACAGTGAAAATGTGGCTGAATTTGTGGCTTTAAAATAAAAAGATGCTGCTGAAAGGGAAGTGAAAAGTTAAAAAGGCAAGGCAGCCTGAATAAGTATGATGACAGCATCCGATTTCCATAATTAAACAGAAACATGAATACCCAGCACATACCTGCCTCCTGAGGCGATAGGTAGATGCTTTAGGCTACGTCCACACGTACACAGGTATTTTTGAAAACGGAGATTTCCCGTTTTCGTTTTAAAAAATAATCCCGTCCACACGTAAAGGCAGAAATGAAGGAAAACGCTGCTAGGAACATGCCAAAGCAACAGGTGGCGATATATTCCTAACCGTGCAGAAATGTTGGCCAATCAGAAGTCTAGAAGCCTCAGTGGGAAAAAGTAAACAAAGCTGGGGC